TCTCCTCGCCGGGATGAGAAAAATGATATGTCACAACCCATGTTTTGGATACAATCGGAAAGTCGCCGAGAACCACACCCACTTGGGGTGGCCATGTGACCATTTGAAAATTTTTAATAGTGACCTGGGTGACGGGGTATTTTTTCGACATGCAATTCGATTTTTATATTTTGAAATTCCGCTTTAAGAATTATTTTTATTTTACGTGTGTTTTTGAACTTATCACCTTAATTGCAAGGGGGTGTGGTCGAATTTTAAAAATCTGGGAATATATGTTTCGCCGTTTGACCTAAGGTTTCCAAAACAGGCGGAATTTTGAAAATCGGTCAACAATTGAAAAAGTAATTCGAATTTCAAATTTGCAATGCTGTTAAGCATTACAAGATCGGCCAATAAGCCTCTCAGCAAGATATAATCTAAAATGTGCTTAATTATTATGCCTCGACCATAGTAACATTATGTATTTTAACTGTGGTTGTCTCACAAATTCGTAGACGCTCGAGATAATTTGTGTTAGAATTATATGTATTGCTAAACAAATTTTCAATACATTTATTTTGCAAATTTACTAAATCCATTGATGCCAGAATTAAAAATAATTGTGGTTTTAATAATAATAATGAAAATAAAAATAATAAAGTGCGGCAAAGCACGATACATAAGTAGCGCAAAAATGCTGAGAATGCTGGGTCGTGACCTTAGTCGCCATATTGCGACATGTCGACAACACCGAAAAACATATTTCGCCCAAATTGTGACACCCCGACCACACCCCCTGTCGCCGAGGGGGTGTGGCACAACTCAGATACACTTAATTGAACTGGATTTCATCCATAGATTAATTTGCGCTATAAATCTCATTTTGCGCTATTTTTCTAACAAGCTTAATTTTCTCAATTTTTAGAATTATTTTGCATGCACCGTTCTTAAACTGACAAAAATTGAACAAAGAACAACTCTCGGCACGGTGCACCGTGCTGAGAAATTCTCCTATCAGAGTGTAAAATTTATAAATTCGGATTTAATAGTGAATAGTGAACTGTTGTACTAACTTTCTCCAGATCCCTTTGACAACACAATGGTTGACCCTCAAGTCAAAAGTATTTTGGAAATGCGAAACATATTCTGATCAAAGTACATTCGTTATGAACCACAAAATACAAATGCAAAATACAGATACTTTACTTGAAATTTGGTCGGAAAGACAAGATACTTATTGTTCTATATTTTTTGCACTTGTGTTTTGGAGATGCCCTATATCGTCCACACATGCTCAAAAAGTTTAACCACTTTATACAGTTTCAATAGTTTTTAGCTTCGTGGTAAAGGCCGGTATTTACCTGTATTTACCAGTGGCATACATACACGCAGGCACAATTTGGTCAATATCACTCGTTGATCACACCCAAATCCCCACGCGACGTGACGACACGTCCCATCCCAATATCATCTATTCCTTCATCACCGTCCGGATAAGTGTTGCTGAGATATAAATTAATAATATAGAGTATGCCGTAAAATTACTTAAAATTTCTATGACCTACCAAGTTGGGCTCCAATCGTAGCAACAGAGTGCTTTGGACGCTATAATGGACAGGACGATGTAAAATGCTACAACTATAATGACCAAACCCCAGTTTTGTTCGTAATTTGTTGCTCCTTCCGATAACGAGGTGGTGTTGGACGTGGTCGCCATGGTTTTCGTCAATATCCCGAAATTTTTTAACGAGATGATCGATATGCGTTTGTCTCTGCGGAGCTAGGAAAAGTAGATGGCGAAGGTATGACGACAGGTTGCTATGTATTCATGCGATTCTGACTCAAGTTATTGCTTCAAATAATCCGCAAACATGGCCAGTCTTATACTGGGGATGACAATTCAAGATTTGAACGAAGCAAAGGATACATAAGTTGTCACCCTGCGCGGTTAGCCCCTTCAACTTTTGAAGTATTTGACCAAGTTTTGTCCAAATCCTTTTAAATAACAACATGTGGTGTGAACAGAGTGCTATGTAAATATTCTTATTTTGGTGGATTTCAAACAATGGAGTATTATGTGTATCTTGTATGATACGAGAATAGAAAAAATAAAGTTATGAGCCTTCGGTTAACGAACGAAATGGGCTCGGCAGCTTCGTCTTTATACATATTTGTTATAGATTTAATGAATGTCATTTCGTTTGCCAATATCTGTCTAAATCATTAAGTATGACATATTTCACTACTTTGGGCCCCAGGTCTGAACGAACTGAGCGTGGCACCCACTAAAGTATGACTGACAAATTGACTAACTTTTTATTAAAAATAAAAATTTCATGCAGATTTTATCCCACTTTATGGGTTCGACCTCCTTGTCGAATAAGGGTCAAAGGAATTTTACTTCGGTTTTCAATCAAGGGGGCTCCGGGGATTAATTTTGGTCCAAGAAAATCGATCCAATGACACAATTTGTGTCATAATTAACCACCCAAAATCTCAATTTCTTAACATATTTAACAAAATAACGTTTTGAGTACTTCATTGGAGATTTTGAGCTTTTTGGAAGACTGGAAAAATTGTCATCTGGTAGGCGCGAAGCATGGAAATGTTAAGAATTGAAATTTCCTAATGTGTTTGAAATTCGAAAATATTAGTATTAAGTAAGTAATGAGGGTATTCATTACGAGTTCGCATGTTCGCATTACAACATCACTTTGTTAGAAATTGCGAATTTTGCGAAGCAACGATGTGAAGGCACTTCGCAAATGACAAAGTTGGGAAAATTTGTTCGAAATGTCACGTCCGAAAAATTTGTAACTCTCCATTAGTTACCAAAGTTTTGCTTCTGATATTTGTCAAATAAGGAATTTAAAATATTTCCAATTTTGAAATATTTTAAATAAGTTATTAGAGATTTACAAATTTTCCCATTGCATTGTATTGCATTGTGTATCTTTATTCACGTGACTTTCCCAATTCATTCCATTATTCACCGGTTCAACCACACTGTTCTACCATTGGTGACACAAAATATAAACCACTTACTACTATTATTTTCTAATTACCTAATTTATATATATTTTGTTTATTTATATATATTGCAAAATTTTACATATTTGTGAAAAATATTTGGCGCACTAAAGATTTAGTTAGAAATGTATTTTTTGTGAACGTTGCTATAACGATGCCAACTCGAAATGAATACCCTGAATATTGAGAAATAGGTACATAAAATTGAACAGAATGGTCATGGTAATTTATTTAAAATTTAAAATTTTACTCCATTGTGTTGCAATAAGAAAAACATTCTGTTTAAGAACTTCTTTGCACATTACAGAAGAAGTCGCACTTTTAAATTAGTTTTGAACTTAAGAAAAAAATGAAAACAAAAATGAAAAAAATTTAAGAGAATCTGCAAAATTCACGAAATTATGCAGATTTTCACAATTTTCGAATAACTGGCAAACCCTTAGATCGCTTTTATGTAAATCAGCATGAAATTATGTACAGGAAAATGATGTATAAATATTTCATCCACAGACTGTTATCAATGTTAAACAGCATTAGAATTATAAATTTGTTAGCAGTCCGCGACAAATATTTCGGTATATTTTCGAAAAATAACATCTTCGCGAAGACGAAAACGTGGTTTCTGTTTCTGCAACGCAGGTGTAATGACAAAGTTTAAGTTGCACTATATTGTCTGTCAATTAAGATTGTATAGAAGGAAATAGAGATGATAAAGTACTTAAAGTTCTCGGACTACAAGCCTACCAATAAATTATCGAGAAGTTTATGTCTGCACAAAACATTCATTGATGCGCTCACATGGAGTATTTGCGTGTCATTGCTTACTGTATCCCTCCATCGTTTTGATCGAAGTATGGCTGCGTTAATGATTGTTATGTATTTAATATATTATTCTGCTCGTGCCATCTGCATTATTAATTATTGCTCATTTTATTATTGTCGGAATTTTATATATATTTTTTAAGTGTTATGTTTGCATTTCCGAAATAAGTTTATTTGAATTACATGGCTCCTCGTTTTGATTGTATGTATACATTTATTGACTGTGCCTTTCGCACTATGACCCAAAACGGGGTACAAGGGTGACGCTCACTTGCTGATGACTGGTTTTTCAGCTTAGAAAGTAATTTCTTTGGACTATGCATAGTCGAAACCCCCTTCAAATGATTAAATGTGTGTAAATGATTCGGTGTGTAAATAATTATGTGTAACTGATGACATGTGTAAATGAGTATGTGTAAAACACCGGGCACCCTCTGGAATGAGTCCGAGAGTGTAGTAGGTTTGAGTGGCTCTGAGAAATAAGACTGGAAGTTACATTTACATTTACATTTACATTCTTACATTTACATTCTTTACTTTTTTACATTCTTTAATACACCTTAAATATGCACAAATAATTAAAAACATTATTCAAGTATTCAGAAACAAAGTACTCAAAACTAATATAAAATGTTATCAGGCAGTCTTTCCAAACCGTTGTTTGGCATATCGTCATTGTAATTCTAAATAGAGCTAAGTGCAGTGCGTGCTTAATTTTAAATAAAGCTAAGTGCAGTAGGTTCTTAATTTTAAAAAGAGCTAATTGCACTTGTTTTAACTATAGTGTTTATTGTGCAGTTAGCTCTTTTTAAAATTAAGACCTTACTGCACTTAGCTCTATTTAAAATTAAGCATTCACTGCACTTAGCTCTATTTGAAATTAGAACGACGATATTATTGATAGAAATATAGTTGGTAGGAAAGAAGTAGAGTCTTTTTTAGTTGAAGAGAGATATAGCATAGCAGCATTAAAAAAGGCTCAAAATTGAAATTTATACTGTAAAGTGGATTATGGAGAGATTTCAACTAGTGACCAAAATACCTACGTAGTTGGGTTCATGAACGAGGAAATAAGATGCCAATAAACCGTTCAAAAAATAATGTGTTTGTGAAACTGACTTCATTTCAGTTGAAGAATTTCACTGAAGACGAATGGAAGAAAGGAGGAATTGATGGAAGAATTTCAGTGGAATTTATGCAATACAAAACAGGAGCAATAAAGCAGAACGTATTACATGATGATACAACTAATATGAATTAATTGATAACATTGATGCATATTTAACTACACCTTTTCATAAGATGTTCTTCCCCTCTAAAATTTCTTTCGTATCTTGAAATAAGTTTTTAAAATCTTCGTCTTCCTCAACTTGCCCATCGAAGTCTAATATTTCCTTAAATATTTTCCGAGCTTTCTCCCTTTCTCCACATTTAGTTAAACAATCCGCAAAACTGTACTGAGCAAACAGAGTTTTCTTACAATCCCTCCCGAAAACGGTACTTCTAGCGATAAAAACCTCTTCCATAATAATCTTTGCTCTTTCAAAGTTTTCCATGTTATATAAAACCAAGCCGACAGCTTCCTTCGTTGAAATAGTGGATGGATGCAAATCCCCATAAATTATTTGAAATTCGTGTAAAACTTGTTCATAACTTGTTAATGCCTGTACAAAATTTTCCTCCACTTCTGACACTTGCGCAAGGAAAAACTTTGTTACCAAAGTAGTTGGGTGTTTGTCGCCAAAATTTTCCATATTCGCGATCAGTACAAACTCCAACATTTTTCTGATTTCGGGTGTGTGATTTGTGTCGTCGTTTCCATTTTCTAGTAAATACACAGCCAGATCCTTCAAAGATTGTAGAGTTGTTGGATGTCGTTCCCCTAAGGATCTTACTTGAACGGAGTGAACATGTTTGTAAACGTTACTCACAGCCTGGACTAAGTTGTGGTTGTGTGGATAAATTTGCGAGATGGTTTTCGCAAGCCAAATTTTCGTTTCCAAAGTCACCGCATCTTCTTCCCCAAACATTTTTGTGCGAATTTCCAATAATTCTTGAAATATTTCTTTGGCTTCGGAAAATCTGTCTTGATCATAATAAATTGCAGCTATGTTTTGTTTTGCTGTACACGTTTCCTTTTCATCCTGTAAATTTGACCAAAATGCTAAAACTTCGTTAAAAAAGGAAAGAGCATGATCACATTCATTCAATTCCTGTAGAGTAAGTGCGTAGTTTCCTTTAATTCGATTTTTCGTAATTTCATCTTCTTCAAATTCTATTTTTAATAAGGTTTCAAATCCAACTTTTGCTTCCTGGAACATTCCAAGGTCGTGGAAAGCTGAAACTATCCGTTGCTTGATGTCAAGGTTGATCCAGTGGTTTGGAGGGAATTTTTTGGAACATATGTTCCCCAGACGTTTCCACTCTTCTAAGGTTTCATTTGCCTTTCCTTCATCACTTAATGCAGAAATATACCAGTTTCTCATGGCAAGCGTGTGCTCATGCTGTCGTCCAAAACAACTTCTAAAAACAGCCAAATTGTGTAGCAGATACTCCTTGAAATTATTCGTAGAACGAAGCAAGTAATTGAAATCGAGAATGTAATCGACGTATTTCTCAACCAAATTATGGTACGAAAGTGTGTGTTTGATTAATGTTGCAATAATTGGAATCCAGCTTTCCGCTCTTATTGACATTAAGGATTGAAAAATGCCAAGAATTTCGTCCAGAAAATCTGCACCATTTGGAAAACTTAAAAGTAAATACGCTGCGATCACAATGGAGATAAAATCCCCCCGATTCTCATTTTGGATTGAGATCAGATTAAAGTTGTAGCAACTTGATACCCTCTTCTATCTCGGTGTAGGATACGTTTGGGAGAAGCTGTTGGAAAATGTTGCGCTCCATCTCCACTGATATTTTATTCGGGTGGATGTAATACAAAAAAGACAAGATTGTCATAGAAACGTTATTCTTATTGTGAAATTTCTTAATGTGAACTATAGAGAGTCCAAATGTTGACAGGGTGGCCATAACGGAGTTGCTTGTTCCATAGCCAAAACCCTTTATCTTTTTTTGCAAAGGTTTTAAACGGTGTATAGAAGTTAGTACCTTCCTAGTGTATAACGTTATACCGAATGGTATCTCTATATTTTTAAATTTTTTCCAAGCCTTAATGACTTTTATGGCGATGGTAAGAGCTGCCGGGGTGAAATGTAGGGCATAAAGAAGTTTTACAAGTTTTTCGTCAAGTTCTGGGTATTCCCCGAGTTCCGAATTTAATAGGCGTAGTCCGTCCTGAAAACTTAGCGGCTTTAAGGCCGTCAAATTATCTGTAGTTGGAGACAAACTTGAGGGTAAGAAGGTACTGAAATTAGTCGTTATGATGAAAAGTAGTTCGCTTTCTTGGATAAATTTGGCAAGGTTGTTGCTAGTTTTCCGGTCCAATGTATTATCATCATTTGTGTATAAATCATCAAGTATAATTATTGTTTGTGTTCCTTTAAGAATACTGCACAAATCTTTTAAAATGTCCTCCGTATCTCGGATGAAATTGATGGCACCTGGTTGTCTGGTTGGAATGTCTAGTTCTGCACAAAGGTTAAACAACTGTGCCTCAAATAAGTCTTGAGTTGAGGATTCTAACCAAATTTTGGAGTAGTTTTCAAGATGCGGGGAATATGTAAGGAACTTGTGGACTAACATGGTTTTACCCATGCTTATTTTGGAACACTTTCCGGAATTTTTTATAATTGTGAAATTACTTTCTTTATCAAATAGAAGTTTTGTTAAGTTTTTCAGCTCGGCTTCTCTCCCATAAGTTTTTGACGTGTTTAGTAATTCATTTCCTCCTTTGTAAAATATTAAGGGACTTCAGTATAAATCTCCAAAGCTTGCGGTCTTTCATCTATGAGTTGAATAAAATATTTATTTTAATAAAATATCATTATTGAACTTAAACAATATCAACGGTTAAAGCATCGCACCTGGATTACGGCAGAGCATTTTTTGAATAACTGAAAAATATTTTCTTCTTGTCACATCGTCCATAAGTATCGTGTCTTGTTCGTAGATACTGCTGGTTTCGTGGGTTTGAAGTCTCAAGTAACGGAAATATTCAATACACTTAAAATCCGAAGAAAATTTGCACAAGGTGAAAATATAGATTAGCGCCAATGAGTAAATATCAGTTTTAGTTGTGTACGGCAGTTGCTCATACATCTCCGGGCTCTTGTAAGACTCCGTCCCTTTAAAGCTTTGTGATGAAAATTCTTCTTCTTTCCCCGAACCAGTTACGTCCAGCTCGCTCAAGTCAAAGTTAAAGCCTCCAAGTTCATCGGCTGAAGAACCAAACTTTGTAGAAATTCCAAAATCTGCAATCTTCCAAATAACCAAGTTTCTTCCGCCACCTTTTGTCGCGTAAATATTGTCTGGTTTTAGGTCTCTGTGAATTATTCCTTTAGCGTGTATGGCACTCAGTCCTTTCGCAGTTTGTGAAATTATTCTTGGGCATTCAATAAGCCTTTCGCGGTCAGTTGCATTTTTCACAAAATCCTTAAGTGTCTCTTGGTTACATAATTCCATTTGAATGTAAAGGAATGTCGAATTTTTGGTTGAATCGGAAAAATATGATTTAGATGAGCTCCATAAATCTTAGAAAAATTCATTAAATATTTAGTTCAACATCCACTTTTCCGTTTAGAAATGTCTTTAGAATAACGTTCATTTATAGATAAAGTTCACTAACCTGAATCATCGCTGCTTTCTTCGGTACTTTCGTCTCTATTATTTCCCATACACAAGCTTAAAAGTTCCCTGATTTTGTTAGTTTTGAATTTTTCCGACCCAGGACCCTCAACCCAGTGACTGTGATACCTGACCACAAAAGAGCTGTTAATTCCACTCTGCAACTTAATCTCTCTTAAAAGCTTCTCAAGAAGAGCAGATTCATCTTCTTCATTTTGACTTCGTAGTTTTGATAAGGCTGCGAGCACATTAATTTGTTTAATGGCGTAAGGAATAAAGTCCAGGCGATGTCGAGCTTTGAAAACCCTGCCGAACGATCCTCTACCCAGGGGTTCCGCTTCCATTAGTTGGAAACCAATTGTAGTTGACCATGGTGGGTTTAGATCAGTTATGGATACATTTCCCTATACGCAAAATTCCTATTAATTGTATCAATATAAACTATGAGCGTACACACGTCCGCCTTCGCATATTTCGTAAATTGAGGAATTGTAACATGACTTTGTGAGATTTCGCAAAACTTTTGCTGGAAAACTATGGAATTTTTTGGCAAATTTACGCAGCAAATGCGCATGCTCTGATATATTTCGCAAAGTTATTTCGCAAACTTCTCTTCAGCATTAGCAGCCAGAAATACATGGAAAGTTTCCATTAGAAACAATGCCAAAATAGGTGTTGTTATAAAGATTTGCGAGATTTGCAAGATTTGAGAAGTCATGTTTTGCTAGTCCCCTAACGACAATAACTTTTTTAGCTTCGCAAGTTTTCTAAATGAGTTGCGATGCGAAATAAGACGTAGTCGTGAGTACGCCCTATGTAAAAGTTTATTTAATATTGAACTTACCAAATTATTAGACCCAGTTAGACAAGTTTTCGGCCTCGTTTGAAGTAATGATTGCATTTTTTACAAAATGTGTATTATATTTGTTCTCGTATTGAGCAGCAATCAGGTGGCGTATTTTGTGAGGATTGATTATTTTCATGCATAAGAGGGTCTTCTTATCCAGCTGGACACGAATGTATGTATGTACATAAATTTATATTCCAATACATTAGTGGGATGCAGTATTTTGCCTTGCTCAATTTTACTTATGGACAATCCGACTACACACTGGTTAACATTGCTACTCACATTACGCATACCTATACTTAAGTAGTACTGCTTCAGTATAATTACTACAGAATGCGTCAAATTGGATTGATCAGTAGAGAGACCTGTACTTATATGGTAAAATGGTAGGTAAAACCTCCAGCCAAATCCATGTTATGTGTATACATACATATATCGTTGCACATAATGCTTATATTGGCGTAAGGTGCAATAATATTTCGCTGCATGCAGCTAAGCAATATATTAGCATAACAAGCGTTACGCTAAATGGGATAAAGTACTGGGAAGTCACTTTTATTATCCGAATATGATTAGATTACGTAGGGTTGTTGGACTGACAAAATCTGACGGGATGGACGCATTCCAAAAGTCTTGTTAGGCAGAAATCAGACATCCCCCTGCCACAGAGAAATTCTCGAAAATTTCATTAACCTGGATTTGTGATGACGTGGATTGAAAAAAATCGGCTGGTGAAAGCAATACGCATTTCTTTCGACATAGGGTTACAGTGAAAGCCAAGACCTTCACGGACAAAGTTTTCAAACCCATTGTAAAACCATCGAGAAGTTTAAATATTTGCAAATCACGTGTAAATTTTATTTTCATAATAAATATGTTTATTGTTACACTTACTTATAAAAATGGTTATTCGCAACACAAACCTGTGATAAGAGCGAAAGAGGAATTTCGAATGGAAGTTGACATACGTATGTTAATTGGATAGCAATTAGTTAAATGAGAAATAAATGTTTGCTTTAATTTGAAGAAAAAGATACTAAAACAAAGAAGGGAAATGTGGGAAGTTTTCCCGCATGACTTTGCCTCCGTTTTGTCCATCATCATCAGAGGGTGGATATATATGGACTTATGGAATTGTGCAAAATAAATGTGCATGTACTAATATGTGCCTAAAAACCCGGAAAATATCCACATAAAATAGGCATGTTTTTCAACTTAAATTGTCTACTTTATTTATAAGAATATAGTTGCGAGGAAACCTTAATTTCTGAATGAAGAAAAATATTTTTACATCAAAATTTTTGAAATATCTATTAGAATATTTATACTTGGAAAAATAGTCGAAACATACAAAAATATGTATGTATGAAAAATCCTCAAAATATGAAAAAAAGGAATATGTACTAAAATTTTAAAATACAGAAAATATGGATATACGAACTTTTAGTACGATCTGATTTGGTATTTCAAAGTCATAAATACATACATACCGCATAGATAACCGCGGTCTGATCATCATCTGGCTCTATACCAGCCCGACTGTGCATACTTTGTGCCAAGTTCTCGTCAATACACCAGGTTTTCTATGTATGACTTGGCCTGTATCATGTAGCGATAAAGAAGATAAAAAAGGGAACGTCCATATAGTACGTCATCATTTTTGTGGGTTGGTGGTTTGGATCTTCTTGTCTTTCCCATATTAAAATTACCCACCGCTTAACGTGGGGTGCGTGGGTGCTAAAATAGGTAATTTTTGATCACATAATATATGGATGGCCCCTTATCTGGGTTTCTGCCTGACTCGAATTGCAACTTTTCACTTAATGTGTCCCTCATGCAAAGCTCGCTTATGAAAAAATACGATTTAAATTACATAAATGAATTCAACCGAAAGGTAAGCTACACAAAATTAACATTTTTTTGCACTTCTTAAAATCTAGAAATATTTAACATGAAAATATCAAATTTTACGATTTTGGTCTCGCAAAAAGCCCGACTACTCTTACACAAACAAGTTAGTTATAATTTTTAAATATTATTTCATGGAAATAATTAATAATCCGATTACTCTGATTTAAACAATTTACGTATGTATAATTAGGAAATATTATTGGTTTGGACATGTAATTAATTACTAATTGATCCTAAATTATGGGCTACACTTCTTAATTAACTGAACATACTCATTACCCGCGTTCGGAAAAAGGCGTGGAAGTCGGGTATACTTATCGGATATCTTCCCCTCTCTTAATTTATCTTTCGTATCGTGTTCCTCAAACTCAAAATATTTTACAGTCTTACAAACGTAGGCCGGATTTCGAAAATCGTACGGAAACCAGGCTTTAAAACTGGTCGCTGACCACGTCCCCCGTCCTCCAAGGGCATCACATTGGAAACTTTCCAATTTTGGGAAATGGTATCGGTAGTCGATCCCACCGTAATAATTTTTCGCCAAAATTAGTCCCACCTGTCGGCCCGGGGTGGCCGTGGAGAAGGCGCGTTTTACAAAGTAAATCTCCACGTCGCCAGGCTGCATGGAAAATGAAAATTTTTTCAAGGCAGGAAACCCCGGGAACAGAAGGAATCCTGGGGCAAATTGGGCGTGTATTTGGAGACTGAGCTCCGTCAAGGTGGCGGCGTGGCGGGAGAGGAGGATGTACAAGGCGGACATGGCTCGATCCGGGGATAGGATCGAGGTCATAGTTAGTTTGGAAAGGTGGCCGGTGGGGAGTTGGAGTAAGGGGTGTAACTCGTCCGGAGTTAGGGGAGCCGAGCTGCAGGGAAGAGTTAGCTGGGTGATGGTGCTAAAATAAATAAAATTCCAAAATTAAGGGGTGGTTTGGTTATGATTGGATTTTTGCCCCAAAATTAAGGAGTGATTATGTATATTAGAGTGATTTGATTTTTCCTCCTCGTCCTCATTTTTTAGGGAGACGAGTAAAAAAAAGGGGAGTGGAAGGTGTTTTTGCTCCAAAATGAGGGGAGTGGGGTAAAAATCTGAGGATTTTGTGAGGAGGGGACAAACATACATAAACCTAAACAAACTGAGGGGACTTGATAAAAAGTCCCAACTCTGGTTGGTAAGATATAGGAGCCATACACATATTGCGTCGTCAAAAAGTACCCACCAACCCAACCTACATGTACATTAAGGGATTGGGAATTTTTACGTGGGAAGGGTTAAAAGAAAAAAAAAATTGTTTAATAAACCGGGACATTTTATCAAAACGTGGACATTTTCGGGACAAATTTTGAAAAACGGGCATGTCCGGGTCACCCAATTAGTGACTTTTACCTTTCGTTGATGGAATCTTTGCTGGAAAATAGGACACGGAGTAGATTCCCAGAAACGGTTAGATTCTTCAGGGCCGGGAATGCTGTCAGAATTCCGGTAAAAAATGTATCATTTCCGCTTTTATCCTCCCCTTCGGCCGGGTTCCGTCTCGAGAGGGAAAGTCGCGTCACTTTGGGAAATTTGTGACTCCACGGCAATTCCTCCATGGAAACTTTGAAGGCGTCAAAATCCATGGATAACTCTTCTAACGTTTCCCTCGAGCTGGATAGAATTCCCAGTAACAAATCCAGCTCGGCCTGTCCCCCGATTCGGATCGAGAGTCTCCGGAATTGGAGGGTTTTCAGGAATAAGGAGTAATCCATATTTTGAGCCGGGTCCAAATCCGAACCGAATTTGATCGAGACGTTGTGCAACTGGTAGAAGGACATGGTTTCAGTGAAGTGGTCTTGATGGCGGGAGAGTTCCGGACAGGTGAGGTAGAGTGTGGAACGTTTTCGGAATTCGGGTAACACCCCGGAATTCCAAGCGGTGTCGACCAGTCGGCAAGATAAGAGGTCGGGGACTGGGAGAAATTTGGAGATGCGGTGGACCACCTGGACAGAGTAAAAGTATTTTATATTTTGTTATAAAATCTCGCTGGGGCTGTACAAATGTTACGGCATCGAAACTTTTCGATTTTAGCATTCACCTGCCCTCCGTGTACATAATGGGATAGGGACTGTTAACGCGGGAAAAATTAGAATATGACTTTGTAAATCTACTAAAAGATCTATTCTTGGAATTTTTTCCATGGATTTTTGAAATTTCTCTGGATGGAAACGGTAATGATGAGTTTCCGAAATAAGAACTTGTCCAATTGCTAAGAAAAATTTGTGTAAAAAAATCCCATGCATTCCCAAAAAAATTCTAGACACCACGGAAATTATGCAAAACTTGACGCTATATAATGCTTATAAGCACAGCGACTGGGTGGGCACTAAAAGCAAATTCCCACCCTTAAATATTCCCATATTCTTCTACGTTTTAACTTGCTTGAACTTTTTAAACTTAGAAATATATCGATATAATTTAGGTTATTCTCGCAGTGTAAGTTTTTTTGCAGTGCTTGTAATGCCTTATCAGTGATAAGTTATCACTACCTAAACTGACTGTACCTACATGTTTTTGAATTTCGTAATGATTATTCTTCAATTTTTCGCAAGGTAGTAATTTTTTTTACACAATTTTAGCATAAATGCTTTCCCACAATATTCATTGCAAGTACAAAAATCACCTTATTGAACTACTCAAATTAAAAACCATGACAACGGTAGTATTAGAAATTATCTTCCAAATAGCATTCAAGAGTTTTAAATTTATAAATAAATAAATTAGTTTTTAATTTAAATTAAAAATTGAATATTTACATACGTCTCCGTTTAATTGTGGCGTTAACTCGGTCATTTTTAAGTGGAGTCGAAATGGAAATTTTGTCGGCCAGCCGGAACCTCTCCTATTTTTAAAAAAATACACTAATGATTCCTAGTTTTTACAAAATTAATTAAAAACTTTAATTAAATGACACCCACCACGTGGTTATTATAAAGCAAGTGTATACATTTACAAAGTTGCTGGAAGAAAGCAGCTCACAGTTTAGTCTTCTCTTCCCTACTCTGCATTTTTCCTCTTTGTTCTTCTACGGGAAACGCTATGGTTTAATAGCATGCAAAGTTATTTTAAAAAACTCTTTAATTTTGAAAATTTTGCAAACAAATTTTACAAACTGTGTGATTGAAATAATTTTTGGAATATTTTTATATTGTGGACATGTTTTGAATATTTACATAAAAATTTAAGAAATTATATTGAACTTATTATTTTATACTTTCCAAGTTAAATGTAACACGAAGCAGGCAGGTAAAAGACTGAGAATAGAAAAAAAATTCTGGTTAAGTTACATACACAAGGAACGGGCATATATTCCGTCGTCATTTTAGTTAATGGATGGTTCGGGGTTTCCTATCTTTCCCATGTTAACATTCCCTATCCCTTAACGTGGGTGGATACTCAACTCTAAAATTTTTGATGACATAATATATACATGACCCCATTGGTTAAAACACAAGTAGCATCGCTGCTATCTACGCCTCATCCCCTTTTCACCCGGCCCAGGTGTGGGTACATATTATCCAGGAATGTTTTGTTGTAAAGGAGCATTTCTAGTAATAAGGTGATTCAATTTTTTTCGTGTAATATTCTAGAAAGTTAAGAATCATTCAAAAAATATCCAAAAAATTCTACAAATACTTTTTCAAATTCGGGGGACATACTAAAAAAATGGATTCAACGACATCAGTTTTTCGTTTTAAGTGTCAATCCTGTGGCAAGATTTTCCAGTATAGATCTGCCCTGGATAGACACGTGGTCTGCCATGCGGATGCGAGGGTGAAATGTGAGGTGAGTTATTTATGATCAACTTAATTAATTCGAGTTGCCATTGACACACAAGTTTGCGAATTTTGGCGAATTGAATACACATAGCTTTTGGTGGTTAAAACGTTTCCCATTTCGTAATAAAAAACATAATTATGTCAATTTGGTAAATTTCAGTTACTTCACTACGGAAGTTTTGCGTCTGAAATTTACCAAATACATACTAAAATACAGGGTGGTTTAAATGTCATGCTACAATGGAAAATTTTTCAATGGGAAAGAATAATAAATTTCCATTAGTTATCAAAATGTTGTCTCTAAAATTCAACATTTTAGGAAATTTGTCATCAGTGTTCCACCAGTTTTGATAATAATTAATAAAAAATCTCAATCCCAATTCTTTCAAAATCATCGCTCAGCGAAACCGCTTCTGCAGTTTGAACCGCACGTGGTCATGATTGCTCTCCTTTTCTAACTTAATTAATGTGAACCCTTCCACTCAGGTGGGAACCTTAGGAAAGTTCACCTGGAGGTAGTGAAGGTTAGAGGTGTAACAAAGCGATTGGTTCCCTTAAGTCACGTGTGGTTCAAACTGCAAAGCGGTTTCGCTGAGCGATGATTTTGACAATAACTACTTGAGATTTAGGGACGTTTGTCGTTGAAAAATTTGCCATTGTAGCGTAACATTTAAACCACCCTGTATATTTATGTACATAATAATTTCAAAAATTCCAAAACCAAACCTGTATCAAGTTTATTACTAAATCGTACTTTGTACATGTACATAAAATATCACACAATTACAAATCGGAAAAGCTGACTGCAAAGGAGTCGCAGATCTAAAAATTGCATAACCTTATATAGCTCGTAACTTTTATCATACATAGTACGCACTTGGAATTTAATTAGCTGATTAATTAATTACAAAATCTATCGAATTCCCAGCAGGAAATAACTCTTATTAATTGAATTAAATACGGAATCGCTATTAAGTTAAAAAAAGTGGTTACCGCAGTGGGATCCGAACCCACGACCTCCCGTTTTCATGACGGATGCTCTAACCTCTGCTCTGAAAACTCTTATTAATTTTCAGATTTGCAAAAAACTTTATACACACTCAACTAGCTTGGAGAAACACATTGAGCGAAGTCACGCTACGCCCCGAGCACGTGTCTCATGCAGCATTTGCCACCGAACATTTTCGCACAGTTCACATCTACTCCGACACAAGAGAAGTATTCATGCCAAAGTCCGACCCTGTTTCCCATGCACGTTCGACGGATGTCAGAAGCGGTACAGACATAAAGCGGATTTAGGAGTGCACGTGAAAATTCACCGAAAATCCGGATCGGTTTCCGTGCACCCTTTGTGGATCCGAATTTCCGCAGAGAAAGCAACTCGATCGACACATTGGGACCCATACGAAGGAGAAGACCTTCAAGTGCACCACGTGTGGGAGGAGTTTCGCTTTGAATGGAACTTTGCAGGATCACATGGTAAGGGTTTCGTCACACTGCAGATAAAAATTTTGAGACGAATCGTCACCCCGAGGAGGTAGGTCTATTTTTGAGTAATGATTCAGGGGATGTTGGGTCACCAGTGGGAAATGAGGCAATAATTCGTGTCCCAATCAGACGCTATTAAAAAAAATCAATACTTTTATGTATAAATAAAATCCTAAATTAAGATATAGATGTTCATTTTTTAAAATAACGGCGTCATGTATGTATGCTTCATACACGAGTTTTTACCTTATTTCTAAATGGTGACGAATCATCTCTGTAATCAGTACACAAAAATAGAGCACCCCCGCGGGTGCCGATTCGTCTCAAATTTATTTGCAGGGTTCGCAATTCGTTTTCGTTCTAAAATTGACAAGATCAATGGCACGGCGGGTAAAATCGGTTTTCTTGATTTTGTAAAAACCGATATTCAATTAACACGTTTTACAATTTCAAAGACGGTTTTACACTTTAGTAAAGAGCGTTTCGTAAAAGACGGCTTTTACAAACTCAGTCAAAAATCGGTTTTCCGTTGCGCATCCTGCAAATGTTTATAATTATTAAGTTGAGTAATTATAATTATCGACTTTTTTTCAGGCTCGGCACGTTGAGAAATCTAATCGAAAATTCGTTCCGTGTAATCGATGTGATTCAAGATTTTTTAGCAGAAATGGTTTTAATCGACACATCCGAGATTATAACGAAAACCGAAAGAATTTCCGATGCAAGTTTTGCGACCAGAGGTTTGGATCCGTTTGTGCTTTGAGGGGACATGTCAGAGACAAGGGTAATTTTGAGAAGAAGCATGCCTGCTATTTCTGTGGAAATAAGTTCCAAACATGGCCCGAGTTGGTGAAACACTTGGGCAGAATTCACACACTTGAAAAATGATCATGCTTCCAAATTTGATCCAGTACTTCGCATTATTTATGATATTAGGATGTATGTATATTTGTTAAATAATATCATTAAATAATGCCTCGCATATCACGGCCCTCTTAATATATGCAGATTTCGAGTAAAACCATGAATTTTTTGTAACACATATTGAGAATAAATTGAGTTAAGAAATATCAATGTTACTGGGTTTTTAATTTTGCAAAATTATTTTCTAAACCCGTTCTTACTATCGCGTGCGAAAAAAATTGAAAAAATCCTTTCAAACAGTCCAAAAATATTTAATATAATGTCTTGAAGGGTGTTTTGAGCCACTTTGCTCCTGGTTCAAAATTTATAATCAAATAGTATTATAAAATATTAGGATAGAAGCCCGTCTTAAAGACGGTCCACGTTTAAAGGTTTAGACGAACACCGGAACACGCCTAACTCATTGCCTTGAACAGAACTGCCGCGATGTACTAATAAAAGTCTTTCCCTCTCCGAATCCGCCAATCGCAGCTTCCGTTACATTTTTAGTTGGAATTTAGGTTACAATTACGTTTACAATTTCAGTTATTGTTTAAAAATATTCCTCAGTAGCATAAAAAAAATCCTTCAAAATTTTTTTAACATAGCTAAGGAATTTTTTTAACGTCACTAACGATTTCTTCTAACGCTACTAAAAATTTTTTAAACCTTGCTAAGGAATTTGTTTAAGGTTGTAAGGAACAACTTGATGGTTGCAAAGGAATATTTTTAGGATAATAGCCGGAAATCATAACCGTTTAACCTACTACTTACTACTTGACAAGGTGGACTTAAATAAAATCCACAGTGAATAAACAGTGAAATTAAGTGTTTCCGCGATATGTCACACCCCCTCGCACTCAGGGGGTGTGGTTGGGGTAAAATGAAAAAAAATCGATGGCTGGGGTGAATTGAGAGTTTCATTTAAATTAAACCTACAGATGAAATATTAAAGAAATCTAGTGCTCACACTTTGTCGTGGGAGTGGCTGGGGTGAAATAAGATAAATACATTCCTTCCCTTTCACCCCTTCGTGTACTCTTTTCAAGTGCATGGCCAGATTGCTCTCACTCCAACTTCCGTACTCGCACTTGTCACAAGAATGCTTTCTTGTGACAGAACCGAGTTAAAGCATTCGAATGCCATAACTCGGTTCTTAGCGTGTGTCTCGCTTCCACATGATACCTCAGTCCTTTCGCGGATTTTAGTCTCTGGTCACAAATGGTGCAGGGGAAGTTGGCCAGATTTTCGTGAAATTTCTTAACATGATTCCACACAGTAGTCCTATCTAAGAAAGGTTTTGGGCACAATTGGCATTGAATCCGTTTTCGGGAAGATTTCTCTTTATGGGTTTCCTAGAAGTTGGGGGAAAATGAGAAAAAAAGTATTACTAACCATGTCATTTTTGGTTGAAAATCAAAATTAAATTAATCGAAATGAGACGCGGTTTGAAAATAAATGATATTATTTTGAAAATTCAAAATCTGACTGACTGGAAAGCAGTGAAAGTAGCTAATCCGAAAGAATGTATTTTTTACATCCGGTCTGAATTCTAAGGTCTTCCAAGGAAAATGTGTAGCTGGAATACTCCAACATCAAAGTAAAACAAATGAAATTAAATTAAATGCATTGACATGATGTGGAAAATTATAGTTATCGTTGCAAATTTCTCGGTTACATATTTGTCGCTACATATTTGTCGTACCACCATAAAATATGGCTCACCTGGTGGCCCGCCAGTGAACTCGTTGAATTCTCGTTTACAAAGGGCACACACAAATCTCTTCACATGAAATATGTATTTTCGAAATTTCTTGTCTACACCGTTCTTCATTTATCCCGCGGACAGACTTAGGGTATCCAAAACCGGACCTCTTTGTGAAAACCGGTTTTCGGTTTTTCCGGTTTTCTGGCGACCAAAACCGGTGAAAAACCGGTTTTTCACCATTTTTCAAAATTATGTTTTATGCACTAAATAAGTGGAAAAATTGATTGAAAATAAGTAGACTAGGAAACCCATATTTTAGCACTTTCTTGACTACACAAATTGTGCCGGACATCTGATGATCTGATCTGATCTGATGATCTGATCTGATGATCTGATCTGATCTGATGATCTGATCTGATGATCTGATGATCATCTGATGATCTGATTTGATGAGTGGATGTCGATTTCCGAACAAATGATTGATTTTAATAATCACATACTAAAGTATTTAGATAATACTGCCCCTGTTAAGCAGCGATATGTTAAGCCTAAATTGAATAATTGGTACACTGCTGAACTTTCGAAGCTTAGAAAACACAGGGATAAATTACACAAGGTAGCTAATACCACGAAATTATGTGAGGATATTAGGAAGTATAGATATGCTAGGAATTTGTACAATACTAAGTTGTGTCAAACTAAGAAACACTATTATAATGTCAAATTTAAGGAATCTGCTAAAAATACAACGAGTCTATGGAATAATATGAATGATCTTACGGGTTATAGGAAGAAACAATATGAACCAATTTCCAAGCTAGTGTGTCCTAATAAGGGTAATATTGATAACCCAGTTCTAATTAATGAAAAATTGGTAGAACATTTTATTGTATCAAATGAGCCTAAGATATTGCCCTCCGAATTAGATACCGAAATTAATAATTATTGTAATTCCTTTAGGTATGATCACAAGGAGAAAGAGGAGAAGTTTTATGATGTAAAAATGGAGGAGGTTGAGAAAATACTGGTTGAGTCGAAAAAAGATACAAAAAATGATATGTATGTACCACTTAAGATTCTGAAATCATGTCAATTAATTGTAGCTGCACAATTATCATTATTATTCTCCCTTATTTTTAAGACTTCATCTACACCGCAGAGTTTTAGGTCGGCAATAATAACGCCGCTTTATAAGGCGAAGGGAAAAAAGACGGATGCCAATAATTATCGACCAAATAGTTGTCTTATTATTTACTGTAAGTTATTTGAGAGGTTATTATTTAACAGAATTCAGTGTAGGATTGAAGCTAAGTTATGTGACCAGCAACATGGGTTTAGGAGAAAGAGATCGTATCAGTCAGCTTTAATTGAATTTACTTATTATTTGTATAAGTCGCTGGACAAGCCTCATGGTAAGGTTGTTGCCATTTACTTTGATGCCAAATCAGCTTTTAATAGTGTTGACAGATCGTTGTTGTTGAGAAAGTTAATGTGTCAATTTAAGCTTCATCCCTTGTATATCAAATTACTTAATAATTATTTAAATAACCGTAATATTATAATTAAGGGGGATAAGAAATACTATTGTAACCCTACTGGATTATCCCAGGGGGCAGCGATTTGTCCACTTCTTTATGCGGCATTCCAGGATGATATATGTGAAATAATTAATATACCTTTTTTATTATATTGTGGCGACTTAGTTGTATACATATGTGGTACAAACTTGGATGATATGATTAGGATTATTGTGGAACAAGCTATTTTGATTGAAAAATGGTATTGTGATAATAATGAATGAATGAATGAATGAATTTATTGATCCCTTTTTGGGGCCACTCGGGCCCATAAAGGAGCGTATAATGTGGTACAGAATAATAATAAAAATGATAAATTTGCTAAATTATTAGATACGATATTGTTAACAATATGAGTTCCAGATTTTTTAATTATTGATGTTGTTTACTGCGTGGAGTGTACGGAAGAGTGTTAGTTGTGGAGAAGAGTGTGTAGTGCATGTTTTTGTAAAACGAATGAGTAATTAACTAGTTGCAGATTATAAAATATAGTGGAGGTGATAAAAGAGGAGTGGGAAGATAGGAAGGATTGAAAAGCTGCTATTGTTCTATGGCACTAGTGTTGGTCGTGGCGGTCAGGGGGGTCCAGTTAGCATCGGAAGGGATTGGGCGACGAGGTGGGGAATGGCCTGGGTGGGTCTGGTGGGGCCAAGCGGAAGGGGCGTGGTCCGAGGACTTGTGCGGTGGTGGAAAATGACATATTCAGCCGTGGGGGCTGACACAAGGACGATGTCGCTGACTGGTCTTCATCTTGTCGGGGGCGTTTTAGTAGTCGAATTTGAGCCTGGAGCTGCTCCGGGAATGGGGCCTGGGGGGTGGTGGAGGCAGTGATAGGCAGGAGGGGTACTTGTTGGGAGGGTGCAGGACGCGCGTGGAAAGTGTCGCGTGCAAGTTTGGCAGTCACAAGAACGGTGAGGATGATCATGGCCAGGGATTGAATAGAGTGGAGGGCTAGTGTGTAAGTTTGGTAGGAGGCATCGTCTTTCATTTTTTGCTCGGTGAGTGTGAAGGTTTTGTTGGACAAAAATGCATCAACCACGTCCATCTGGAGATATTCCATCCAGAGATGCTCATCGCCGTATTTAGGGAGTCTGAGCGTTGTGTTGGCTTTGTCGCTCCAAAGGGTACGGATCTGGTGAAGGAAGGTACCGATGCCCTCCATCACGTCCCCGGCTGTGTCGACTATTTCTGCTGCGGACCATGCCTGGGTCACTGGTTGCACCCCCGTTGGGCGCCCTCTCGTCGGGGGGAGGAGGCCAAGGAAGCATACCAGAGATACTGCATGTTATAAATCAATGTGAGATGACGGCATGGATATTATTATGTTACTCGAGGCTCTTCTTCCTAGAGAAGAGTGGGAGGAACAGTCGGTGTGGGGAGTGAGGAGGGGCAGTACTTACGGATGCGAAAGATTACAAAGTAACTTTTGGTTTCCATCTGCTGTGCAGAGTAGAGAAGACGGATGTTCGCTATTTGTTGATTGGGTGACACTCAGAGCAAGGGGCGAGTTCTCCGGTGTTGGTTTACGCTCAGCGGTGATAAGAAAACTGAGAGGCATTGGGTCGTGCTAATTCAGATGAAATCTCCATTATTTGGTTTAGACATGTGATGATGAATCTTGAGAGCCGGAGAGCTTCTAATTTGGAGATTGGGTTAAGAATTTGATAAACATCCGTAGGATGTGGTGTGTGGTGACTAAGGAATGCTGACCGGGCTTGCATATGCAGTGGACAGTGTAGGAGAATGTGGGACAAGGAATTTAATGCTTGTTGGTTGCATATATCGCATACCTCATCGTAGTTGAACTTAATCATCCCGAGTGGCGTGGAG